GCGCGAGTTGCGCGTCAGGGTCACGGGCCAACGACTTTGGATGACCTCACTCGGATGTACGGGTCCTGGGCCGATCTTGCCGAACAAGAGTTGGTTCTCGCCGCTGGCACTCCCCCTCCTGTCCTGGGCGGGGGCCCGCAGCAAAATCCCTAGCGCGGCGTGAAGTACATTGCCGAGATGGAGATGAAAGGTCCCAGGCACCCCGAGTTGTTCGCCAGTCGGTGGCCCCGCTCGACGTCCACGGTCGTTCGTCAATTGTTGCAGCAGCCTTGCAGGCCCAAAGACGTCGAAGCTGCGGGCTGCTGCATTTGCCCCCCCTCCCTTGGCCGTAGCGAGCCAGGGCAGGCATGCCGCTCTTTTTCGCCATGTACGCGCGTTCGCCAGCAAAGCCACCCAAGGTCTATCAAATTTGCCGGAAGCGAAGGACCTGTCGTCGCCCATCACGACTGCTGCGGACGCCGAATCCTGCGTTGCCAAGACCGAAGGTTTATATCCTTGTGGCCAATGGATAAAGTGCGGAATCGAGAGAAGGGCCCGTCGAGTTCATCAGGTCACGAGATCCCCCAAGGTTTGGCCCCCCGCGACCGTCCTGGCTGACGATCAAGTTATCGTGTCGGGCCCCCTGTCTATGGTGGCCTCGGAGGCCGCCCGTTTTCAGGCTTTGTGGAAAGCGGAGCTCTCGGCCCCTCCCCTCCCCCCTGACATCACCGTTCTTAGGAAGACCAACAGAAGATACAAGGAGGGGTCCGCCGTGAGCACCGACGGTTTCCACGTGCGACATGTCAGCTTTCTCTCGGATGACGCCTTGAAGCGTCTGCTCGAGATCTACCGCGCCATGGAGATTAGCTCTACTGCGCCTGCCCAACTGTTTGTCATAGTTCCGACGCTCCTTCCCAAACCCAGAAGAAGCTACAGGCCCATCGGCATTGTTACGGAACCCCATCGGCTCTGGGGCCGACTCCGAAGGCCTTGGGCCCAAGCTTGGGAAGTCTAACATGTTCGTCCTTGGTTGGCGGCTGGGAAGTGCACGGGAGCTAGCGACACGGTCCGCCGGAAAGCCCTCCTGTCTGAGGGAGGGGTTGCTGGTGCATTACGCTGCTACGCTCTCAAGGGATTTCCTGAAGTACTTCGGGAGGTTGAATATCGAACAAGCGCTGCACAAGTGCCAGATGCACGGGTTTCCCCAGGCGATCTCTAGGTTGGCCTGCTTCGCCTACCGAGCTCCTCGTCGCCTCTCTCTGGGCGGCAACCTGAGTGCTGCCCTTTATGCGATTTGTGGTGCATTGGCGGGATGCCCTTTCGCCGCTACCTTCATCCGCGCGAATTCGATCGACGGTCTAGACAGCATCATTTGGCCCCCCGGCGTCACCTATTCCCTAAACAACGATGGTAATGGATTGCACGCTGTCAGGTCATTCGATGACGTCATCAATGGCATCGTGGATATCAATTTGCAGCTTAAGCGCGCTGTGGTTGAAGACGCAGGCGCCGCTCTCGCGGATGACAATGCCTGCCTCATGACGTCCAGCAAGCTCGCGGGGCCTTCGCTCGGCGCTCACTGGCCCAGTTGTTCGCGCCGCCCCCAACCTCGGCGCCGACGACAGCGTCGGCAAGCCGCCCAGGCAGAAGGGCCTGAACGCCAAAGCCAAGAAGCGACGTGCTGAAGCTCAGGCGAGGGCTAAACCAATCAAAAAGCTCAATAGAACCCTCGGGGAAATGCAATAACATCCGGGCGGCTGGCCCCCTGCCTGCGGCTACGTACGCCCCCGCGGTTCACAGCGTCAACGACGGTGAACTGCTCCGTTTCAGACGCAGTTTCGCCTCGGTTCTTAAGCCTAGTGCCGGGCGCCGAAGCCTCTCCATTGCGCTGCTCCGCGAAGAGGACCCCACGTGGATCATCCAGGTTTCCCCCTTCCACCGCCGGGCCAAAGATCTGGCGAGAATGAGTATTCACCCCTTCCACCCTGAGTTTTCAACAGCTCCAAACTTATTTCGACTGTTTTTTTTTTGCCCAGCCGTGGAAAACTTGGCCTTCGGTTGCGGGCCCTGCGCTGGCCTTGCGGCGCTCTCTTCGTCGCCTCGGCTGGACGGCTAAGAATTTCGCGACCCTCGTGACCGATCAGGGGTGCGAAAATTCTCTAGTTTTGCTGTCGCCAGGCTTGGCGAGGCCCCTGCCTCAGGACGCCGTGCTTCGCCAACTTGAACGCCATGTCGGAGATCGGGTTGGCGTTCCTGTCAGAGTTTGTTTTGATATTGTCACTCAGCACTCCCTGGAGACCATCGGGCCGCGGCCTCGGGGGCCCTCTTGACTTGTAGTTATGCCATTGGGAAAGGCTACAAATATCCGCAATAATGTCATTTGGGCTGCGGATGCCACGACACGTTGTACCACAGGATATGGAACTGTCCTGTTCTTGCTGAGGAGCGCCTTGCTATTGTTGGTCGGGGCATCTTCGGGACCATCGACGACCGCGTTACGAACCGCTATATGCTTTTCTGTGTCACTCGGCGCGGCTTGCCACATCCTGGGGATGTGCATCCAGGGCCTCTGGCGGAAGGGCCCTGGGTTGCCGGATGGTTCGTCGATCCTCCTGGATGCAAGTTTTTGCTGGAAGGTGGCATTGTTATTGACAGCTCGTGCACGCGCATCCCGCCCGAGAGCTGCGCCGCGCCGCTAGGTGCTGCAACGCTTTCAAGGACGGGGTGCGCCTGTGCGAGATCCGCTGCCCCGTGCACCCGCCACTCCGACAATCGCCTCTGGCCGCCGAATACTCAGCGTTCACATGGAGTGGTATGTGGCCAATGTTGTGAATGAGTACAACGCCGCCAAGGATGCGCACGCACATTATCGTAAGGCCCATGCTGGTCACACAGCGCAAGCTAAGTGCCGGTGGCGCACACAAATTGCTAGAAGGCGTTGTCAAGATCAAGGCGCATTTTAGTTTGAACAAAGCTGGCTTGTCGCAGGCAGAGACCTACCACGGGACTGGCAACTTCCTTGCTGGCCTTGGCGCGAAGGCCGCGCTCGATTTGCATCCGAAGGGTCCTGATGTGCTCGCGGAGACGGACCCCCGAATAAAATGCACCAGTGTTTTTTGCAAGTTAGCGCTCAAACTGTTACCCCGTTTCCCCTCGCTAAAGGACTATGGCGAGGCCAAGTATGTGAAGCCGGAGAATATCAAAGTTCAGGCTGTTCCAGGCATGCGTTGGTTTTCCAGGGTTGGCGGTTTCTGGCGGCGCACGACCTGTTCCAGGGCTTGCAGAGCCGATTCTGTCTTCAGGTTAGGAGCTAGGCCCACCCCCCCTCCTAGGAAGTGCCCTGGTCCTCCTGAGGGCTGGGATTTCGCCAAAGTCAAGGCCATGCGTCACTCGAGTGCTGGTCTGGCTTGTTCGGATTTCTGCATTTCGCATGGTTGCATTCGTTGCTTGGCCGTGAGTCCGGCCTGGTTTTGCAACGATGCCCTGGCCCTGGGTCCACGGACTCACGCTAAAGATCTAAGTGGAAGAGCTTGCTAGCTGGCACCCACCCATAACAAAGCAAGTCGTTTGTCCGAGCGCATGTTGGCTGCTAGTCGCGAGCGGCCGCCGACGGAGGAGCAACGTGCGACGACGTGATTGACCCCGTTCCTGTTGCTGCTCCGTCGTCGGGCGCTGTTTCGGACGAGCGAGTTGCCGCACAGGCGGAGCCTGGACCAGCGGCCTTGTCAGCTGCTGTAGCGGCCCCCGCTGAGGACAGCCAGAGGCCCGCAGTTGTCCCGACCTTTTTCTGAAGCCACCCTCTTAGGTCTGGATGAGGAAGGGCTTCCAGATTGCTGTTCGAGCCGATCCGCGGGCACTACGAGAGGGACGGGGTTGGAGTCCCTCTCTCACCAGCGCCGAGCCAGGCACCTACTGGCCCTGCTCATGGATCTCCTGACGGGCCGCAGGGCGTCGGAGCGGGCCCAACCCTTGAAGAGGACGAGGCCCCCCTGGTCTCCCCATTTAGATCTCGCACTCGCGCTGCTAGCTGTCAAGCCAAAGTAAACAGGCGCGTCCGAGCTGCAGGTGGCCGCCCCGTTGAGGAGCTCTCTGAGTCAGGTTCGGACTAATATGCCTTGCGGCCTCTGGCCCGCGGGGCCGTCGAAGCCCCCAGGTCCGTGTCCAGGCATCTCCCTCTTCGGGCCACCTGGCACCTGTGTTTTCGGGTTCCTTGCGCCCCCCTGTCTGCGACCCCCCCCCCCGCGCTTCGTTGCTTGCGCGCGTCGCCCCGCACCGCCGTCCCACGGTCTCGCCGTCACCGTGCTCTGCTGTGGGCCCAGTGCCCACCTGTTTGACAGCTGGAGCATTGCGGGCAACAGAAATACATCCGCCTGGGCGGCCTGAACACGCGAAACCAGGCGTCTCGCTCGAGACATCATCAACACATCTTCACGTTAGATGTCCCCCTGGGCAACCTGGGCAAGTGAAAACAGGCGTTTCATTCGCGACATTCTCAACGCAGTATCATGCTAGACATCCGCCTGGGCGACCTGGACACGCGAAGCCAAGCGCCTCGCTGGAGACATTCTGAATAAATCCCCATGCTGGACATCTGCCTGGGCAACCTGGACGCGTGAAACCAAGCGTCTCGCTCGAGACATCCTCACGACCTGGGCGCGCGAACACAAGCGCTTCACCTGAGAGGTCCTCTGAATTCTGGTCTCCAGGAGAGGAACAACCTATAACACCAGACAAGCGTGTCACCCGACATCCCTAACACATTCTGCTAAACAGGCCTTTCGCTCGAGACATCCGCAACATGTGAAAATATGTATGTCACCACGTGTGCTCTTAGCGTCGCACATCTGCTCGGGGCTCGGCGGGCCGCGACGCCAAGTTGCTCACTGCACCATCGGGTTGCGCCATGTCGTCGCCTCTGCCTCCCTGCGCTTGCGCGAGGCCCCATGGCGCGCTGAAGCTGGCCCCCCTCGCGGGGACGCGCCGCTGCGCGCGGTCAGCTGAAACCCGCTCGCGTCGCGCAGGCGCCTTTGCGCCGAGGAGATCAGCCAGGTACTGGGGCGCCACGGCGCGATGGCACTGCAGGGCGCGCAGGCGAAGTGGCGCGGCGGCGGGGGCGTCTCGAAGCAGACCTTGCCGAACCACGACGCGCTCCACTGCGGTTGGGAACGGGGCGGGCGCACCAGCGAGGCGCGCGATGTCTCGGCCTTTTTGAAGGAGGGGTTCAAGGTGCTGAAGTCGCCGTCGCCGCCACCTTGTTTGCGGGGGCGCGGCGGCGGCGCCCGCCTGAGGCGGGGCGCACTGGTCATCCTGGGGTTGGCCCTCTACGACGCGCCGGGCATGGTCAAGCACGAAGCGGGGGTCTTATCGCCACCCTCTGTGGTTAAAGGGCTGGCCGAGCCCGCGCTGGTGCACGAGTCGGGCACGGCATTGGAGCTGCTCTGCGAGGAGCGGGGGCTCGCCACGGTCAACGCCGTCCTCGAGGGCTCGGCCTGCTCGTGGCCAGCCGTGGTCGCGCTGCCCCGCGTGCTCATGCCGAGCGTCGAGGACCGCAAGCCACTCTACATGATCGGCGACGGGATGCGAGCCAGTCGAGCCCGCGGCAGGAGGGACCACACCAAGCTGCGGGTGCTGGGGGGCATGGACGCGGGCATGCTGGCACTGAGGCGGCACCTGGGCAAGCTGGAGTTCTGGAAGGAGCTGGAGTACAAGTGCGAGTACGTGGTTCGTCCTCCTTTTGATGAGGGGCAGGGCACCGACGAAACCAGGGACGTGCTGGAGGAGGTGATGCGCGAGGCGGGCCTGGCGCACTTCGGCCTCAAGGATGAGCTCGAGGAGACGGGGGGCCGCCCTGGCGCGCACGGTGCCCTCGCACGACCTCCAGTTCGGCGACCTCGTGTCGGCCTGCTACATCACGGTCAAGGTTCCTCTCGGCAGCGACATGATCAAGAACTTGGAGGACGCGGGCAAGGCCTACAGCAGCATGTGGCGCGGCAGGTGCCCCGCGCAGCACGGCCTGGGTCCGCCGTTGTGGAGGCGGCGGTGCGCTCCCTGCCCAACACGACGGACATGGCGGGCTCCGACTTCGAGGGGCCAGTGGAGGCGTTCAACGTTCGGGTCTGCGGACGAGACTTCTTCCAGTACGTCAAGTCCAAGGACATGTACGGCAAGAAGCACAAGCGCGTGTGCGTGGCGATCGGGATGGCCGAGGTCGCGGCCACGTTCACGAAGACGTTCAAGATCGGCGGCGTGGAGCCCCTGGGCACCGCGCCGACAGGCGGGCTCCATCGGAGTCGTCAGGAGTGGTTGGGGCCAGCGATGATGGACGTGACCCTCTGGCTGGTGGACGGGCGCGGCGGGCGGGTCACTGAGGAGCGGCCCGCGCCCGCGCCTGCGGAGGCGCGCCGTCGGGGCGCATCGCCCCCGCCCGCCCTTCGGCTGGGGCGCTCGCTCGGCCGCGGGGCCGGGGCGGCGGCGGAAGGCGGGGCGGCGCTGGGCGCGCGCGCCGCCTCCTCGCGCGAGCGTGCCGCCGAGAGCTGAGCGGGGTTTCGGTCGTTCCTCTCGGCGGGAGGTTTCGAAGAGACAGCGGCGCCTTGCACTGGCGCCCATGCTGTGCTAATAATAATGTGTGCTCTTGATCGGAATGTCAAAAAGCAGCGTTTCGCTCGGGACATGCTCAACTGTTGGATTCGCCCTGAGCTACGCGAATTTGTTAGTTAGAAGACGATCGCCGGCCGTGCGCACGTCAAAAAACGTCCTACTCCTTTTTCTCCTCCTCATCCTCCTCCTCCTCCTCCTCAGCAGCAGCAGCATCAGCATCAGCATCAGCATCAGCGTCAACAACAACAACAACAACAACAACATCATCATCATCATCATCATCATCATCATCATCATCATCATCATCAGCATCAGCATCAGCATCAGCATCAGCATCAGCATCATCATCATCATCATCATCATCATCATCATCATCGTCATCATCATCAGCATCATCATCATCATCATCATCGTCATCATCATCATCAGCATCATCGTCATCAGCATCAGCAGCATCATCAGAAGCATCAGCATCAGCAGTAGCAGCCATCACCATCATCACTACCACCACCACTACCACCACCATCATTAGCATCGTCAGCATCATAATCAGCAGCAGAATTAGCATTATCATCAGCAGCAGCAGCAGCGACATCATCAGCATCACCATTATCATCGTCATCATCAGCATCATAATCATCAGCATTATCATCAGCATCATCCTCATCATCATCAGCATCATCAGCAACATCAGCATCATCATCGTCATCGTCAGCATCATCAGCATCATCAGCATCCTCATCATCGGCATCATCATCATCATCCCTTCCTCCTTTCGTCCCTTCCCCCCTTCCTCCTCCTCCTCCTCCTCCTCCTCCTCCTCCCTCCCTCCTTCCCTGCCTTCCCTTCCTCCCGTCATTCCATGCCTCCCTTCCTCGCATCCTCCCCTCCCTCCGTCTTCCCGTCTTCCCTTCCTCCCCGCTTCCCTTGCCCCCCTCCTCCCGTCGACTCGTCGTCCCGTCCTCCCTTCCTTCCTTCCTCCCGCCATGCCGTCCTCCCTTCCCCCCCTTCCTCCCAATTCCTCTCCCTCTACCTCTACCTCACCCCCCTATCCCTCCTCCACCTCCCCTCCCTATCCCTCTATATCCCCCTCCTCCCCTTACCACGAGACAAAACCTCAGTGGGGAAACCGAGCGACGCCGGCTGCCTCAGCACCATCCGACGTCGCGCTCCTCTCCGACGTCGCGCACCTCGACCCCTCCCCCCAGAGCCAGCGGGCCGGAGACGGCCTCCAGACGCCGCTGGCCTCCCAGAAACCTGCCGCCAGGATTAGGTCGGGCACGTGCCCCTACGGGCGGATCTTTGACGAAAAAATGCAAGATACCCAAACACATGTTAATGTTTGTTCCCCACATCCTGAGTGGGGTTCTTGTTTTCCCAGAACACCCTCTCCTTCCCACCCACCTCCCGCTCCATCTTCCATACATCACAATATTATTCCTACCACACACACACCATACCATACCATAGTTCCTACCACACATACCATACCATACCATACCATAACATACCACACCATACGTACCATACCGTACCATACCATACCATGGCGTACCATACCATACCGTACTCCAGGGAGGCCCCGCCTGAGCGAGGAGGGTATCGGAATACCATACTATTTACATGGTTTCGTGCCCCTCCCACCCCTCCAGGGAGGCCCCGCCTGAGCGAGGAGGGTATCGGAAAACCATACTATTTACATGGTTTCGTGCCCCTCCCACCCCTCCAGGGAGGCCCCGCCTGAGCGAGGAGGGTATCGGAATACCATACTATTTACATGGTTTCGTGCCCCTCCCACCCCTCCAGGGAGGCCCCGCCTGAGCGAGGAGGGTATCGGAATACCATACTATTTACATGGTTTCGTGCCCCTCCCACCCCTCCAGGGAGGCCCCGCCTGAGCGAGGAGGGTATCGGAATACCATACTATTTACATGGTTTCGTGCCCCTCCCACCCCTCCAGGGAGGCCCCGCCTGAGCGAGGAGGGTATCGGAATACCATACTATTTACATGGTTTCGTGCCCCTCCCACCCCTCCAGGGAGGCCCCGCCTGAGCGAGGAGGGTATCGGAATACCATACTATTTACATGGTTTCGTGCCCCTCCCACCCCTCCAGGGAGGCCCCGCCTGAGCGAGGAGGGTATCGGAATACCATACTATTTACATGGTTTCGTGCCCCTCCCACCCCTCCAGGGAGGCCCCGCCTGAGCGAGGAGGGTATCGGAATACCATACTATTTACATGGTTTCGTGCCCCTCCCACCCCTCCAGGGAGGCCCCGCCTGAGCGAGGAGGGTATCGGAAAACCATACTATTTACATGGTTTCGTGCCCCTCCCACCCCTCCAGGGAGGCCCCGCCTGAGCGAGGAGGGTATCCGAAAACCATACTATTTACATGGTTTCGTGCCCCTCCCACCCTCCAGGGAGGCCCCGCCTGAGCGAGGAGGGCATCAAGAAAATGGGTCCCACGAAACCGTTAATCTCTTTATGTGGGGAACTCCGTTAGCATAATTTTTAAACATGTCCCCATACTCCTCCTGTTGAGAGACATGCCCGACTTAACGCCAGCAGCTCGGCATTCGGGTTGGGTTGAGGTGGGCGCAAATTCTTGATGGGCAATAAAAATGGAGGAGGGGAGAAAGATGCCCTTATCGAATCCGAAGGACCCTTTGGGGCCCCTCAAGGGCCCCGTTTCGGCAACCCTCGCCGCCCTCCCATTGATCGCCCCCCCGTTACGCGGCCTCCAAAACAAGTTCTTGCAGACCCCTCTGGCTAGGTGGCGACACCCGAACCCTGCCCTGGCTAACCGTCGATTCTCCTGAATCGATGGGGGGCGGGGGGTGGGATCCGGCGTTCGCCGCGTGCTCGGCGCAGTCCTAATCCTACCCCCGCCGCCCATCGAATTGCCCGAAATGGTTGATCGGCGAGGGTTATGTTCGGATTTCGGCGCCGGCCGGCGTCCTCGAAGCTCCCGTGGTCCTCACCAGGGGCGCAGTCCGCGGGCCCGCCCCCCACGCACGGGGAGGCGGACGCAAGGGCCACGGCGTGCCCACACGAGGGCGGGATCCGAGAGGGGGCGGAGGCAGGGGGGGAGCACTGGGTGAGCCCTGGAGTGAGCCCTGGAAACGGCAAGACCGTTTGTTTCACCGTCTTCAGAGACCTGTCTCTTGATCATGACCACAAAATCGGTAAGAAAACAGGGCGCACCGAAAAGGTAAGAGACAAAGGTTCCCCAGGACGGCCTTGGCAGCAGGTAGATCCGAAGGACATCCGGGACCGTTTCGAGAACGGCTCGGATATGCGAATTACTCTGCTGGGTGATCAGCTGTGCCCCTTACGCGTGTGTGTATACAAATGTAGAAAAAATAAAAATAAGCGCGTGCGCTATACTATTGTTGCCCGCGCTCGGTGCACCGCTCGGCCCCGACCTGCCTCGCGCGAGCCTCGTGCTTTGGCCCGACTCGACCGGCAGCGGCGCAGTAGCGCCGACCTGCCTTCCTGACCTCCCACCAGACTGACGTCAGGTTGTGCGGATCCTCCAGGGCAGCTTGCCGCTCGACGCCCTGGCGTTCCTGGGGCCACGGCCCCCCGCTGCTTCCCCGCCCCACCACTCGGCGCCCCTGCTCCAACCGCCCTCACTGACGTCGTCCTCGTCGTCGGCTGCCTTCTCCACGTCGTAATACATGCCGTGGTCTCCACAGGGCGGCGTCGCCGTCGGCGCGCGGCAACCGCCGCCGGCCTGCCCGTCTTACTCGCTGGCGATGGCCAGGCACAGCACCGCGGTCCCCAGCTCGACCGAGAAGTACAAGCCTGCGCGGGCCCCCGGCTGGTGGAAGGACGGACGTCTAGATTGTCCACGATAGCGCGATCCTCAAGGAGAAGCTGCTTCACCTCAGCGCACTCCGCCTCCGTTCGTGGAAGTCTAGCGCCGCGTTGTTTCAGGATGTCCGCCCACGAGCCGCAGCAAATTCAACAACATCCAAGTGCGGAACGGGATGCTGATCCCGAGTTCGGCGGCGGTGTCCGCGCGGCCCACGAGCACGTCAAAGCGTAGCAACGTGAGCCTAGATCTTCATTACGAGCTAGTGCGCAAGTGAAAAAGTCCAGGCCTGTTCGCAGCACGCTAGCCCCAGCATCTGGCGGATCTTGATGAGCAGGATCGACAGCTGGATGTCGCCGCCCGCGCGCCTACGCACGCCGGCGGCGCCCCCTATGTCCACTTCCGTCTGCGCTGCAGCGCATAGATGGGGATCTCGTCTGCTACCGCGCGCGCGGCTGTTCCCAAAGCTAGCGAGAGGAGCGGTCCTTGTCGTTTGCCACTTCCTCACGTCTTTGCTCCACTTTACCACGTTGTACGGGCAGATCGGGTCCGCTTCCACCTATGGTGACCATCGTGGAAAGTCTCCGCGGTGGCCACGGCGGTTTCTCGCCGGTACTGCAAGTGCTGAGCGCCGCACAGGTAAGGCTGTCTGCTCTTCGCGTGGTGTGCGCCTTGGGTCGCCATCGTTCCTCTTAGCGGTGAAGAAGGCCAGTGGCGGTGGAGCTGGCGAGCGTGACCAGTCTGGCGTCGCAGACCTCGGCGGTGAAGGTGAAGGCTAAGGCTCTCCCTTGAACGCGAGTCCGGTCGTCAGTCTGACCTGCCGGCGGCAGGCTTCCGAATGAGGTTCCCAAAGCGGGCAGCTGCAAGTCCGCGTGGCCCGCTCGTGCTCGACCTCGAATATTTATTGTGTTCGCTCCTACGTCTTCCTGCAGAATGACTGTGGTGACGTATCTGACCCATGCAGAGCCTTCAAAGGGTACTAGCTGTGGATCTTCCCGCTGACGCGCGAGGCACTCTTCAATGCCAAGCCCAGCAACAAAGCAGGAACTTGTCAATACCCCCTCCGCTACCAGAGTTCGAGCGCCAGAGGGCGCTCCAGAGGAGAATAACAATGAGAACAATAATCGAGAACAATAAGCAATAGAAGATGAAGGGACAGATGTTTTGCAAAAAAACGTTACAACTTGCTTCGCTGTCGCTTTGACCAACTGGCTTGAGCCAGAGGCGGCGGAACGCTCAGCAGAAGAGATGTGGGTGTATGCAAATACACCGGTCGACTAGGGGTGGGGAGGAGGAGGCGAAAAAGGAGGAGGCGGAGGAGGGGAAGCAGGAGCATGGAAGGCGTTTGGACAATCGACCCGGACAGTCGCTGCCGCTCGCCCAGGAAGCCTCGAGCGCCCGGGCGCAGCGGGAGCCGCCACGCGCGACAGCCGCTGCGCGCCCAAGCGCTCAGGAGCCGAGGAGCAGGAGCTCAAGAGGGGAAGCGCCCCCAGGGCGCTGCCGAGGTGGTCCTGGATGGCCCCAAGATCCACCAGGTTGGCCCAGGTCCACGCACGCTGGCTCCCAGCACTCCTCCTGCGCCCCCGCCCGCTCCCAAGACGTGGCCCTCGCCGAATGCGCTGCGCGCCTTCGCGACACAACTGCCTGGAGATCCTGGCATCGCAAATGTGTAGCACTGGGCGGCGTTGCATCGCCTCGGGCTCCAGGACCCTCACAGTTCGGACCGGCCCCAAAACTGACGCGGAAGGATGGGGCCCGGGGCCCCGAGTGGAGCTTCGCCACGTCAGCCTCATGATATCGCACTACACGTGGTTACAATGCGAACAGGAGCCCCACGGCGGAGGGGGGACGGTTACTTTCAAAGATCGGGCGCTGAAGGCCAGGCGCTGGGACGCTTGAACTCCCGCCGAAACAGCCCGACCGCGTGGGCTGCTGGCACCCGCGCCCTCCAGCTCACCCTCCTCTCCTCCCTCCTGCCTCCCCCCATCCCAATCATCCCTCCTCCTCGCTATGTCGGAAATTGCCGAAACCACCTTCAGCAAAGCGCCATGATATGAAGACTGCCAGGGGCACTCCACGTGCGCACGACACCGCATTCGAGCGAACCCCAGCGGGGCAGCTAATCTGCGACCAAACACAACCGAGTGCATCCAGCGAATCTCACGTCGATCAGCATCACCGATTCGGGACGGCACGAGGAGGAAGAGGAGGAATCACATGCCTGTGTCGAGTGAACTGATGCAGAGATTTCCTCGGTCGACTGTCAACTGGGTGAGCGCTCTCCCTGTGCCGCCCGATGGTTGCACACCCTCGGATCTTGGACGGGATGCCCCAGGACACCTCCTCCTCCTCCTCCTCCGCCTCCGCCTCCTCCTCCTCTGGGGGCCGGCGGGAGTGGCGCGGGCCTCCAGGATAGAAGACGGCCAGCAGGCCCAGCGTCATCATCCCGCCCCACATGCCCTCTTGGAGAGTTGGCGGCGCGTGCAAGGGGGTAGGAGGAGGAGGAGGAGGAGGAGGAGGAGGAGCAGGAAGAGGAGGGGGGGATGGGGAGGGGGAGGGGGAGGGGGAGGGGGAGGAGAAGAAGGAGGAGGCGGAGGAGAAGAAGGAAGAGGAGGAGGAGGAGGAGGAGGATGAGGAAGGCTTTTTAGAAGGAGGCTGCTTCTCAGAAGGCGCCAGCCCTGCGTCTGTAGAGAAGGCCCGCGCATTCGAAGAAGCGAAGAAGCAGGGGAGCTTCTGAGAAGCTCCCCCATCCCACTACCCCTCCCCCTCATCCTTCGGGACCTTCCGCCCTCCCCTCCCGCCACTCTCTCGATATGATCGATGTGGGCTTCCTCGAATGCCGTAGAAGAGCTCCACGAGTCTCGATGAACTGTTCCGCCCCCTCCGCGGAGGTCGGAGGGTATGCGGAAGGCGGAGGTCGAGGGACCCCCGTGTGCGCGTGGTCGAGGGGGGGCGGGACCATCTCGCCGGCCCTGGCCCGGCCACGGCCCGGTCCAAGCCGGGCCGAGGGAGGGAGGCGGGGGCCCGAAGACCCGCGGAGCCTCGGATCGCGTGCTCGATGTCTGCGTGCACGCGCGCACGGGCGCTGCAGTAGGAGCTCGACCACAGGAAACCTTCCACGAGAAACCCAACCCTGAGACCCCACAAGGCTCGTCAAAAATGAGTTGACGGTCATTTTCGGCGCTTGCATGGTCGGCGCTACTTCCCTGCTGGCAGGAGGTATGCGGCCCAGGCGCGGGGGTGTCTGAAATGCGGCAGTACCCTCACAGCATTGAAGAACGCGTTTCTGACAAGTGCCCGAACTATCGAGCGCTTCGATTTTGAACAGCGCTTCAAGGTGTGTTTGACGAGGCTTGTAGGACGTCCATTGGTTCTTGGTGCGGGAACGCCGCGCTTTCCATAGCAAAGCCATCGAAACCCAAGAGAAACCCAGGGCACCCTGTGGAGGCAAGCAGGGTACTTCTTGGCAGGGGTGTCCACCGTACACCTGGAGGCCGTCCAGGCCCAAGGACCCAGGAAGCGTGGGCGCCGATCCTGGCCCTCGTCGATCTTGGTTGGTCCTCGCCAACGTGGGGATCATCCTCGCGAGCCGGCGACGTCCGGCATGGACCACGGCCAAAACTCAAGGATCTACTGGCCCAGGTCATTCCAGACCCGGGTCAGTCAGGCCTTGCAAGACGCTGGAGGATCCTGCAGGATGCGACGCTTTGACTGAACCCTGTTTGCATTGACCCGGCGGAGGGGGGGCGTCGCTACGTAAAAGAAGCACTGTGGACATTTCTGTTCCGTTTCTGGGAACTGTACCCTCGCGGATCGATCTGGCTGGGGACGTACAGCATGACGAGTGGGTCGGCAGCTCAGATCGTGTCTGCGTCACTGCGCTGTGCGCTGTCCACGACAAGACAAGGCGATACGGAGAAGGTGGAGAAGGAGTAGAGGAAGGAAAAGAACATAAGAATTAATCTGTGCCCCCGGGGGGGCCCGGCGCCGATCCAAGAGATCTGCGCGGAGCTCCGAACGTGTATGCGGCTGTGTCTTCGTCGAGGAAGAGAGCCAGAGTAAACCAACAGCGCGATCAGACGTGCTGCGATACGCCTTCCCACCTCGAGGTCCCCTCATCAAAATTCCTGAAAGCACTCCTTGTCAACCATAGGAAGACCACCCCCCCTCGAAATACAAGAACCCCATAGGCCTACCACAGCAGGACGAGGAAGAGGAAGTGGAAGGGGAGGGAAGGGGAGGGAAGGGGAGGAGGAGGAGGAGGAGGAGGAGGAGGAGGAGGAGGAGGAAGAGGAGGAGGAGGAAGGGGGGGTGAGGAGGACGAGGAGGCGGCGGCGGTCGGATTGAGACGGCATGGCTGGACGCGCCGAGCAGCATAACGCTACGGTCAAAACGTGTAGTAAGGACGGGTGGTAGGGACAAAAGGTCACTGCACCGACCTTGCAGACGTTCTGCGGCCGAGTTTTGCGTGGAATTCTGCCAATGCAGAACCCCGCAACGGCGAGCGAAAAACGCAGTGACGTTCACGCGGATGCGTTGTAGTCTTTATTCCCGGCCCCCGAGAAATCAGCACGAAATTCACTCCGAAATCCGGAACGGAATTCTCCAGCACAATCTGAGCCCATCCCATTGTTTTCCGAGCGAAATCCGCTCTGCGGTGTTGGCGCCATGACGAAAGACCCCTGGAGGCCGAAGTTGGGATCTCTGAGGCAGCGGGCGACCAGTGAAAACGGCCAAAGACGGACCGCAGAGGCGGGGACACTAGATGAAGGCGCGCCGCCTCGCTGGGCGCGTCGACTGGATGTGCGACGTACCGCGCGCGGGAAAGCGCCCCCCCCATCCCCTCCCCCTCGCCTTAGGTCGGGCATGCCCTCCTACAGGCGGGCTCCGGGATGCTCTCCAATACAAATCAAAATGGAAAATAATCGCGTAACACCGTCAATAGACTATCTCTTGTACTATGTTTGAGCACTCTTCCTGTAGAGGAGAGGGTCATGCCCGGCTCAGGGCGCAGGAAACGAAGAGGCAGCCGGAGGAGGAGGAGGAGGAGGAGGAGGAGGAGGAGGAGGAGGAGGAGGGAGGAGGAGGAGGAGGAAAAGATGGAGGAGGAGGGGAGGGGGAAGGAGGAGGAGCAGGAGGAGGATGAGGAGGAGGAGGGGGAGGGGAGGAGGAGGAGGAGGGAAGGGGGCAGGAGGACCGAGGCGCCCTCGTCGCGAAGACCGCGCGCGGCCACGGCAGGGGGCGGGTCGGCACGCGGCGCCCGGCGGGCGGGGGGAGGGAAAGAGGGAAAGAGGGATGAAGACGAAGAGGGAACAGGAAGAAACGAAGCCTCCTCCTCCGCCTCCTCCTTCTCCTCATCATCATCAGAATCATCAATCATAGGCCTCCTCCTCCTCCTCCTCCTCCTCCTCCTCCTCCTCCTCCTCCGTCGCCGTCCTCCTCTCCGCACCCCATCCCTCCTCCTCTTCCCTCCTCCTCCGCCTCTTCCTCCTCCTCCTGCTTTTCCTCATCCTCCGCCATCGCCTCCTCCTCCTCTTCCTCTTCCCCCTCTTCCTCCTTATCGCCCTCCTCCTCCTCCTCCTCCACCTCCTCCTCCTCCTCCTCCTCCTCTCATCATCATCATCAATCATCATCACATCATCATCATCATCATCATCATCTCATCATCAATCATCATCATCATCATCATCATCATCATCATCATCATCATCATCATCATCATCATCATCATCATCCTCATCCTCATCCTCATCCTCATCCTCATCCTCATCCTCATCCTCATCCTCATCCTTATCATCATCATCCTTTTCCTCCTATTTCCTCCTCCTCCCCCTCCTGCTCCTGCTCGTCCTCCTCCACGTCCTCCTCCTCGTCCTCCGCATCCCCCCCCCCATCCGCTAGCCCCATCCCTCCTCCTCTTCCTCCTCCTCCTCCGCTTCCTCCTCCTTCTCCTCCTCCTCCTGTTCCTCCTCCTCCTGCCTTTCCTCATCCTCCGCCACCGCCTCTTCCTCCTCCTCTTCCTCTTCCCCCTCCTCATCCTTATCGCCGTCTGTTTCCCCCTCCTCCTCCTCCTCCTTCTCCTCCTCCTCATCATCATCATCATCATCATCATCATCATCATCATCATCATCATCATCATCATCATCATCATCATCATCATCATCATCATCATCATCATCATCATCATCATCACCATCATCATCGTCATCGTCATCATCATCAGCATCATCATCATCATCATCATCCTCGTCTTATTCGTATTATGAATATGCTGCTTCGTGTTCTTAGCAGCCGTCCCCGCATTATTAAGCGTATGGGTAGTATTATGAGTATTCTTCGTAGTCGTATTATTCGTGTTCGTCGGCGTCGTATTCGCACTCTTAATATGATGTTGATTAGTCGCGGGCTTTGTGCTATCATTAACCTTCGTCTTCGTATTCAAACAATTTTTAATCTTACGATTGTTATATTTGTTATATTTACTCGTGCGGTTCGTCATATGGTTGTTTATTTTATTATTATGTTTATTATGGTTAATCTTCTTAATACGTTTATTAATATTAGTATTGGTCTAATTATCCGTATGAGCATGTTCCTTCTTTTCCTGTTCTGGTAGTTTTCTTAGTGTTCGCATTGTTCGTCTTATGTTTCTTCATTTTCCTCCTCCTCCTCCGCCTCGTCCTCCGCCTCCTCCTCCGCCTCCTCCTCTTCCTCCTCCCCCTCCTCCTCCTCTTCCTCCTTCTCCTCCTTTCCCCCTCCTCCCCCTGCTCGTCTTCATCCTCAGCCTCCGCCTCCTCCTCCTCTTCCTCTTCCCCCCCCCTCCTTCTCGCCATCCTCCCCCTCCTCCTCCTCCTCCTCCTCATCCTCCTCCTCTGCGGCTTATTCGTATTATGATTATCCTGCTTCGTGTTCTTAGTATGGTTCTCAGCATTATTAGTGGTATGTGTATTATTATGAAATTCCGATTCTTCTTCTTATTATTCGTATTCGTCTGCGTAGTCTTCATCATATTCGTAATATTATGTTGTTTATTATTCATGTTAGTAGTCGTATTCTTTCGTCGTCGTAGTATTCGACCTAATATTATTATTCTTCTTATCGCGATTATACTCTTCGTTAGTCTGACTCGTACGGTTAGTATTATGGTCGTTCGTTTTATGATTATGGTGTTCGTATGTGTACTCTTGTTAACACGCTTATTATTGTTCGTACGGGTATAATCATCAGCATGAGCATGGTCCTTCTCTTCAGTATGATTACTATGATTCGTCTTGTTCGTCTTCTTTTTTATTCCTCCTCCTCCTCCGCCTCGTCCTCCGCCTCATCCCCCGCCTCCTCCCCCTCCCCCCCCTCCGCCTCCTTCTCCTTCCCCCCCCCCCTCCTCCTCCTCCCCCCCCCTCCCCCCCCCCACCCTCCCTAGTCCTCCTCTCTCCCCCCCCTCCTCACACCTGTTCTCCCCC